TAAATTACATTAAGGTGGTGTATTGAATCAGTCCATAAATTTTATCCACTCAAGGTGATGATTCTTGGTGGGAAAGATAGAGGAAAGATTGGAAAGATCAATGAAGTGGTTAGAAGCAAGAACTGGGTATTTGTTGAAGGATTAAACACGGTAATTCATTCTTTTTATTGACATTTATTGGATGTGCAACCTACACATAGGAGTCTGTGATATAAACCATGTCCAAAATACTTTTTTTCCTTAGCTAGTAAAATGTATGAGGGACCAGTGCTGGGAATGGCCCATTGTTTTTTCACCTTGTGGTATTTGTTACATCAATGAATAACACAATCAGGGAATAGAGTATATTAAAATCATTGATGGAATCTCTTTTAGTACATGTATTTGGTACATAGTCGTTAGCCTAAGGGAGGGAGCCCATAGTCTGTTATCAAGGGTTTTCCTGGAGTCTCTGCCCTAGGCCTTTTTCTTTACCTGTCTATGGGTCAGTCCTAGTCTCCTGATGTGTGCTTCCTGATCCAGTGTAACATTTTCCTCAACTTTCCCCTCTTCCCTTTGCCTTAAAAAATTCTAGGTCAATGATTGTGCTCTGATTTAACTTAAATTTTCACTCTTGAGATCTCATTAATAGTAAATCCCTCTTACTGTCTATCTACAGTTCTTATGATGTTAGTTAGGAGAATTTGGGTTTGGATCAACTAATAATCCCCTAACTGATATTTATTCTCATCACTAATGTCTGCTTTATGTAATACTGATATTGTAAAGAGAAATTATGTCTTCATGGGAGTTGAGAGATTTAATGTCAAAATGACCATTACCTACCATTCTCCAAGGTCTTCTCTTGATCAAAACAAAAATCATACATACAGTATGATTTAAATTGTAGCTTGGATTCTATTGTTGTTTACCATAGAGATTCTATTGTTGTTTACCATAGATTGTTATTAACCATTTCTTTCTATTTCTTGACAGCACAAACGTTACATCCCTCCACAAAAAGGTTACGATGGAGGACTTACTAACAGTGAAGCCCCACTTCAGGTGTCAGAAGTGTCTCTCATAGATCCTTCAGATGGGTGAGCAGTGACATTCACAATTTTTTTTTATACGTACATTTTGATAGGTTCTTATCTATGATTTATTAAAGGATATATGCACAGGTGACATTACCATTAACAGCATTTTGCTTTTTTTATCATAGGACACTTACATATTCCATGTTGCTGTAGGTCTGCACTGTAATAGATCACATAAAATGTCAAAATGTGGTAAGAGAATCAGTGACATACTCAGCCATGCCATAGTGTGGCACTTTTTTTGTTCTTACCACATTTTGATGTCATCTGTGATCTATTACTGAACCAACACACAGCAACATGGAATATATTATTTAAGTAGAGAGTATGTTTGTAGATTTAGATCAACATTTTCTTGTAGAAAATACTGATCTAGCAACAAGGAGTAAGAAACGAGATCAATTTCCCATCTTTTGTCCTCTATTTACACACAACACAACAGACATGAGTCAACATGAACCTTGTGATGACCAAGTTCATCATAGACGGAATTCTCTGTTGCTCAATGAACTACAACATTTGGCTAAAATAAAAACTCCAAAACTCCTTGAAATTTCGAACAAAGGGGTAACAAATTTTACACAAACAAAAGCTAAAAAAACTGAGTAAAACTCTGTAAAACAAACAACAAATCCAATCTTAGAGTTCTTTGATTTCTCATGGACTCCAAGAAGTTTTTGTTGATCCCATTATCAAGACAAGATGAAAAAATATTTTTCTTTATAACAAAGATATCTTTGTCCTAGCATAAAAATTGTTATCACCAGCATACAAGTGTATCTAACTAAGAAATACTCTTTTTTCTAGGAAACCCACAGATATAACCTACAGATACACAGAAAAGGGTGAAAAAGTTAGAGTATCAGACCGCACAGGTCGAATCATTCCTAAACCACCATGGGAACGAAGAGATGTTAAGAACCGATCAGCTATAAAAGGTCAGTTACTATTAAATATTCAGGAATAAAGAGATTGCCAACAGCTATCTGGTAATAATTGTTTTTTTTTTCCCCTGAATTTTTCATTACCAAAATTAGACTATTTATTGGCATTTGCCATTTCATTGTTTATCATTGTTTTTGACCAGGGTTACCTCTTGTATTGTGCTCTTGGGCTGACAAATTTTCTCTCACACTTCTGCTCTCCACCAAGGAGTATAAATGGGTAATGGCAAAGTGTCAGGGAGAGCCCTTGAAACACTGTAGGGGGAGGAGGTAATCCTGTGATGAAC